AGATAGAATTTGCCCCATTTCACAGCTGCTAAGTGGCTGACCTGGAATTTGAACCTAGGTTTGTCCGACTCCCAGCTCTAGCCTTCCACGTGCTCTACAATACAATCCACAGGGCCCTTGGATTCTCAGGGAGAATGCATGGATTTCAAGGCCAGGCTTCTCAGTGTTTTCAGGTCTACCTGTAGGTCTCAGTGTTGGCAAGGCAGCTAAGGTGGTGTGTCTTCACTCTTTGCCCACACCCCCAGCACTCCAGACCATGGCCTCTGGTGTTCATGTCATCACACCCAGGTAACCATGTGATTTGCAGCCTCACAAAGCTCCGTGACAAGCCGCTGAGCTGAGCCGTGTGTGTGGCCTGCGTTCTCCCCTCCCTGTCCGGAGGCTCAGTAAGCACATGGTCTTGAACCCTGAGGGCAGTGTCAGGCCCCAGATTCAGGTGACTCTTTGTGGAATGAACTCAGTTCCAGGAACTGAGGGGACAGGAGCAGCCTGAGGAATTGTTCTGATTGGTTGACTGGGTCACAGTTCAAACCAGGAAGGTGTGTTGAGGTCCCTCCTGGGTGGGCCCCAGAAGGAGGGAGGCCTCTGGTGCTAGAAGCATGGGAAGGAGGTGAAGACTCCTAGATGTGGCAGGGCTGCTGGCAGCCCCAATGCCCTTCAGTCACAGGGCACCGACCAGGCTCTGCTGCCCACCATGGAGCTCAGTGGTCAAGCAGGACCTGGGTTTCTGGGAGAGGACTGAGGATGGGGCTAGTGTTGGGAGGGGACTCAGGGCACAGAAGATGAGTTAAGAGATCAGAGAAGAGTTCAGGACTCAGAGAAGGTGTGATTCGGTTCTGAGAGTGTTGTGGTCTCAGAAAGACACCGGTGTGAGACACACTACTGGTGCTACGTGTCATCCTGGAGTCCTGACCTCCTCATGACATGCTTCTGGCTGGAGGGAGTGTAGAGAGCTAGGGGTCTGGGGAATAGGACCAGAGTCAGTGCAAGTAGCCAGGTTTTTTGAAAGAGAGCGGGATGCCAGGGCTGAGTGAGGCAGTACAAGGAGTGCTAGGTCCGGATCATGTCGGGGGATGCAGGGAAGGGTAACTAATTCCTGGAAGGGGAAAAGGGTTGGGGTCATGGATGCATGGAGCAAGGTTTGGAGCGGGTCACTGACATCAGAGGGTTGGCACTGGGTCCATGGTTGGGCATCAGGGGTAAGTCAGAGACCCCCATATTGGAGCCCAGGAGATGTGGAGTTAGGAGCAGAGGCAAGATCCAGGGGGAAAGGAGGTGTCTAAGACAGGAGCACAGGATTCTCCAGACACGTTTGGAGGGAAGAGATGAATGTGGCACTAGGAGCAGGCCTGGAAGTTTTCAGAAGGGTATGGGAAGGAGCATGAGTTCAGAAGCAGGGCTTAGGGTTCAAGGCTTAGCTGGAGTCCTGGAAAGGGAGCAGGACTCTGAAGGAGTGTAGGGGCTGCAGAAGGGGCAAAGCTCGTAAGAGGACTTAGGCAGCCTTCATGGGGACAGGGTGTAGCCCTGATGGGGAGCTAAGAGTGGGTTCTGCTTGCCTCACATGTAGACTTTATCCAAGTCACAGATATGTAGCACGGAATCATGTAAAGGGCCCATCAGCGGGGTGGTGACAAGAGATTCACATAGGTGGCCTTGGTCACTTG